GTGTGTGTGTGTGTGTGTGTGTGTGTGTGTGTGTGTGTGTGTGTGTGAGAGACGATAAAGCTGCCTTTTACCCACCTTCTGTTTGAGTTTGTCTCATGAGGGTTAAATCCCAGTGATAGATTATTGCCACGCCTTAACTCTGTAACCAAAGTGCTGTAGTGTGTGTGCGTGCGTGTGTGTACATGCCATTCCTTTTGTGGCTGACATTCATTATCTAGCCTGCATTCTTGAGTAAACACTCAACCCTCTCCATGCAAACACTGACACACACACACACACACACACAGAGGCTTGAGGAATGTGGACCTGCTGCTCATCCACCTTCTGTTTTCCCTGCAGGACCATGAACAGAGGAGAACACTCCATCATGTCCCAGCTCAAGAGAGAGAGTGAGTATTTTAATTTCACATTCCCTTTACATGAGTGTCTCTCGTGTGTTGCTAGTCTGACTTTCTTTATAAATATCAACATGGAAAAACTCAAGATTTGTTTAGAAGAATCTTTAAAAAGTCGTTCATCGTGTCCGAAATGAATTGGTGAAACACGACTCTGACTGCTTGCTGCTGGTTTCCAGTGGGAGACCAGTGGATAAACTACATCTCCATCGCCGGTCTGAGGACTCACGCCGAGCTGGAGGGGAAGCTGGTCACCGAGCTCATCTACGTCCACAGCAAGATGCTCATCGCCGACGACAACACCGTCATCATCGGTAATTTTCTCACGTTCTCGATTCCTCCATCGCAAGATTAAAAGATGACAAGATGTAATGAAATATTCCCCTGAGTCCAGACGGCTCATGTATAATAGAGGAGGAAGAAACGGGAGCAGCACAGAGACGGTGGCGTCCTTTTATATCAAAGAGGAAATATTTAAAAAGCTTGAAAATGTTACAAAGAAAAGTCATTTGTTTGGTACTTTGCTGTTTTTGAACTAGAACTGAACCTTTAAAGGTTCCACATAACCTAAAGCAGAACTGCGGTTCCCAAACTTCCCTTCTGACCCTTTAAATGAAGAAATGTCTGAACTGTACGTAATGAGATATGGTGTGAAAAATGTGTCTGGTAACAGATGTTTCTTTCACACAGATAACTGTAGAGCGCAGCTACAAATAACAGAAACTAAAATATAATTCAGTGTAAATAAAACTACATCATTAAAGATTAGAGTTACCACAAGGAACTTTCATTTTGTGTCTGAAACAACAATTTAATAATAGAATTCTGTAATTGTTTCTGTTATTTTGTCCAGCTCCTGTCTACAGTGACATAAAGATAAACATAACTATTAAATATAAAGGACATCATTCACTTCCATGCCCTTCATATGAAAGTGAAGACCCATTTATTACGTATTTAACAGATTAATTATTTTTAATATACATTTCTTTGGACTATTTAATTTCCTGTATTTTACTCGTATGAATGTCAACATGTAGTCTGAGCTCAGGCGCTGCAGCGCCCCTTGCTGGCCGACTCTGGGATCGCACTCATTTTGTGGTTCTGCAGGTTCTGCCAACATCAACGACCGGAGCATGCTGGGAAAGAGGGACAGCGAGGTGGCGGTGATCGTGGAGGACTCGGAGACGGTTACGGCGGTGATGGACGGGCAGGAGTACCAAGCTGGAAAATACGCCCTGCAGCTCCGCCTCGAGTGCTTCAAGTACTGACACATTATATGAACTATTTATTCAACCAGAGCTTCTTTACAGGCTGTAAAGACATTTAAACATGAAATAAGAGAAAGTTAGGAGCGAGAGAGAACTTCTTCTGACACTTTTAAAATTAAAATAACTTATTACACTATTTAACAATATTTGTTTCATGTATTTTTTGTTCTTATTTGCATGCAGCAGTGATTCTTTCATTGATGGGTCAATTTTAATGACTTTTATTTTGGTTGCATAGATATTTATCCGTATTTCAAAGCATGCATTTAAATCAAATGTCCATCCTGGAGGAGCAAAGCACACAGATTTAGTGATGCTTTCTCCTCTTTTCCTGTTTTTTTGTCTCTTTGTTGTCACTTGTGTCTCCTTTTGTGGTCATTTTGTGTCTCTTTGTGGACTATTTGTCTCTTTGTGTTCTGTTCGTGTGTCGTTTTGGTGATTTTGTGTCTTTTTTGGGTCATTTTGTGTCACTTTGACTTTTTGTAAGTGAAGGCCATGAGGCCCTTGACATGTTGGGAATACTGATGTATTCAGACAAGACTGTGAAAAATAGTTTTTTAAATGTAAATCTAATTTATTTATTTGTTCGAGTTTTTTGTACTTGCGTTAAATTTCCTCATCACGTCGTCTTCTCGTTGCCAAATATCTCCGCTCGCAATATCCTGCAGTGTTTCCTCTTTTCTGGTGCCGTCAGCGTTTCTTCACGTCTCTCTCCTCACCCGCCTCCTCACCTCTCCGTCTCTCTCTCTCTCTCTCTCTCCGTCTCTCTCTCTCTCAGGATGATTTTGGGCGCCAACACGGATCCCTCCATCGACGTGTCGGATCCCGTCAGTGACCAGTTCTACAAGGAGGTCTGGATGACGACCTGCGCTCGAAACGCCACCATCTACCAGAAGGTGAGTCCGACACGACGGCTCCGTATCGTGTTTACAAATAGGATTTCAAATCATGAAATATCAGTTGTTTTTAAAACTGTCGTGATTGAGCAGATTTTATTCCATTGTCATTTGTCATTAATACACTTTTGTTTTTAATAAATGTGTTCGGGACCAGTTCTGGACACCAACCCCTGGTTCTCTCTCTGACTCCGTCCTGTTTTCTTTTGTTTTTTCTCTCTTCAGGTCTTCCGAAGTCTTCCGTCCAGCGACGTCCGTAGCATCCTGGAGCTGGATGGCTACCTCGCCAAGCCGGGCCTGGACAAGGAGGACCCGGCCCGGGCTCACGAGGAGCTGAAGAAGATCCGCGGCTTCCTGGTCCAGTTCCCTCTTCAGTTCCTGTGCGAGCAGAACCTGCTTCCCCCCATGGGCTGCAAGGAGGCCATGGTGCCCATGGAGGTCTGGACCTGAGACCGAGACGGACTCGCCAGTGCATTCATGTGTTCACGCACAACATCAGGAAGGCTTTCAGGTTAATGAGACCCACTCTGGTGCCATTTTGGAGGTCATAGTGGCTGAAAACAGCCTTTTCGTGTTTTTAATAAACTGACAGCTGTATCTGATGACATGTTAGCGTTGCACTACAGTGGTTCCCCTCTGCAAACATAAGTGAATAATATTTTCTAACCAGTTTGTCTGTGCTGTAAAAATCCTTGACCTTGGTGCAGTCCGTCTGTGCTGCAACGCTCCTCAACATGAGCCACAGAAAGTAAAAGTTAGAGTTAAACGGAGAGTTTCTTTGGAGATAAAAACCTGGTGTTTGGATATAATTTATAAATGTCTGACCTACTTACTTTTATCTTTGTTGTAGTATGAAAGTGATCACAAACATCTGATGTAATGGATCGTTGCAGTTGTGTCTCTATCATTGGTTCTTTCGGTTGTGATAATAATAGTGGAAACAAACGTGAGCAAACCGATTGTAAACAAATGCATGTGGACGAGAAAAACAAAGTTTAAATGATTCGAAACGTCCTTCACAGTTGACAGACGATCTTTGTGGTTCAACTGACCTGCTGTTCTTACCGTAGTGTAGGCTTTCTTCGCTTTATTATCAATATTTAAACTTTCAATTTGACCGTGAAAAAAGTTGTTTTAGATAATCTGGAATAATTCAATATAATTCATCATCTGTCAATTGAATCACATCCTGACGCATAATAACCCCGTCTATATTGATAATAACGAGCACATACTCCCTTCATTCAATGAGAAAGTACTCCGTATATATGAGACATGGTTTTGTAAACTTATTCGTGAATTGAATACAATTTATTTATTTTCAGAAAACTTTCTATGTCCTAAAATATATCATTATCAAGATATTTCAGGTGATTAAACACTAAAGAAAACATAATTTTAAACATAACATTCCCTTTCTGCCGATAGATCCCCTTTAATGCGACGCGCTGGCCCTTTAAGATAACCTGTGTGGTCACAGCTGCTGATCCTAGAGAAGATGGGTTTTAGCTGCAAAATGACCTCCAAAAATGGCGTCAGCTGTGGTTGTGAACAAAGCCTTTTGTACCAGCGGTGCCACCGGATGCACGTGAATAAGTTTCACACTGACACTGTGTCGTTGGAACAACATAGAGTCTACGATGACACGTAAACGACACACGTACCAACAAACATGGAGCGCAAACCACCAGGCTTTTCCTCTACAGTCTCCTTCGTTCTGCAACAACACTATGCAACATTCAGGGCTGGCAACCGCAGCTCTGAGGGTTTGAAAAAGACACAAAATAATATAAAGAAGAAGAAGAAGGGGACTTTAATGAAGGTGCAGAGAAGAGGATGAAGAGCTGTCGGGCGTCTCCAGCCATTTTCTCTCACATCTCTGAAGCTTTTTAATATTTATGTCAAACAGGAAATCACAAGTGCCAAAGATGAAAGACTGTTGGTACAGTACGTACATTCATTACATTCCTCATACTGTTCTACGTTTAGCCTTAAGTGACCTGTTCTTGTGCTCTGATCTGGTCTTTGTAGTTCTTTTGGTAGCACTTTACTTTGCAGGTCTGTAATTTCCAATTAATACCATTTTCTGGAAAGAGCTGCTATAGTTTGGTGCTAATTACAGTAACGGGGAAATCTTTATTCATACCTAAATAAACAATCATTTGATTGGAAACTTTACACTCCTTATAATAGTTTTCTGCCTGTAGACAAAGCTTAATTTAAATGTAAAAGAATCTAAGTAACATCGTTAGTTCTTTGGTATTCATTATAGAAAACGTGGACACATAACCAGCCTTTCCAGGTAATTACAGACTTGAATAAAGCGTTGCCGTTCTGTTTTTTTACTGCATAACTCTCGGATTCATGCATGATAAGTTTATTACAATGCTGCGTTTCATTAATGTCAGCAAGCGGGAATTCTTTAGCAACAGCCAAGTTTATACAAACAGGCAACATTAGTTTGTTGGGCAACGATTGAGCGGATGCAAGTTCCTTCAGCACCTTTGTTTCTGCTGCCACCAAGTGGCCAAAATAATCTATTATTGCAGCTTTAAGATATTTATTAGTGCAGTTTTAAGGTTTTTGTAGTCTTAAAGATATACTTGAAGTTTAAGTTTATTAATAAAATTAGAAACGATGGTCTGCAGCTTTCCCGCTGTTAAACTCAACGTCAGGTCGTCACAATTTTGAGAGAAAGTCTCAGATTTTCCGACGTTTCTGGAACGCAGCATCAATGTCCCTCCGTGTCTTCCTCGTTGGTCTGTGAGTGATCTGCATGATGCTGTTTTATGCTATAAATTTGACCAAAAAAAAGACGATACCCGTAGCTGACAGCTGCTCATTGCCATTAAACATTAAACAGATGAAAGCATGAAGCTGAACTGGTTGCCTTTTTAAAAGCCATGGACGTTATTGATGCTAAACGTTGTGCCTGTGTGTCGTCCGGATGCACCTGAAACTTCTCTTCTGTTGTTGATGGATGCTCTTCTTTTTAATCGTTCTCTCTACCTCCCTGTGTTTCTACCTCCTGCTCCAGTGCATGTTTTTAAGCTTTAAAAATCAGGAATATCTAAAGCTATCCCCCAGCCCCCCCCCCCGAAACATTTTACCAGGTAAAGTCATCTGAACAGGCAAAGAAAAGGTTTGCTGTTGTGTGCAATGTCAGACTGTTTAAATCTAAAACATAAAGTATATTGACAGACAAAAACTGAATTCACCCTTCAGAAATGGGATTATGTCATCAGCAAAGAAGTTGATTTGGATGGAAGTGTTTTCTGTGCATCCGGAATAACTGACTTTAAACCCAGAAATGTTTATGAGTATTTTTTTAGGTAATTTCTGAGTTATCAGGAACACAAACATATTGTGTACATGGAGTCATAACAGGTGTAAATGAGTATTGAAACCTTCAGCGGTTGCCTCATTTTCCTCACACCTGACGTCTAGAGGTTCAGAAACACGTCCCGTTTCTTTTCTCTGTCCGGCTTTTAATCACCATGTCTCTATGAAAATGCACTTTTTTGCACAGACTGTTTTCTTGTGGCGACCTCTTAAAAGATCTGCATGTCATTTGTCGCTTTTTGTGAAATGATGGAATAAATAAATGATGTAATAATAAGTCATTAAAATGTGGTCTTCTATCGGAATGAGCCATTTATACTCATTATCTTATGAAGCTGTGTTCATCAAGTCTTCTGCTAATAGCAGGTATAAAATACTGTGTTCTTACAGTTTAGCACAAGTATACAGGTGCTGGTCATATAATTAGAATATCATCAAAAAGTTGATTTATTTCACTAATTCCATTCAAAAAAGTGAAACTTGTCTATTATATTCATTACACACAGACTGATATATTTCAAATGTTTATTTCTTTTAATTTTGATGATTATAACTGACAACTAAGGAAAATCCCAAATTCAGTATCTCAGAAAATTTGAATATTACTTCAGACCAATACAAAGAAAGGATTTTTAGAAATCTTGGCCAACTGAAAAGTATGAACATGAAAAGTATGAGCATGTACAGCACTCAATACTTAGTTGGGGCTCCTTTTGCCTGAATTACTGCAGCAATGCGGCGTGGCATGGACTCGATCAGTCTGTGGCACTGCTCAGGTGTTATGAGAGCCCAGGTTGCTCTGATAGTGGCCTTCAGCTCTGATGCATTGTTGGGTCTGGCATTTCGCATCATCCTCTTCACAATACCCCATAGATTTTCTATGGGGTTAAGGTCAGGCGAGTTTGCTGGCCAATTAAGAACAGGGATACCATGGTCCTTAAACCAGGTACTGGTTGCTTTGGCACTGTGTGCAGGTGCCAAGTCCTGTTGGAAAATGAAATCTGCATCTCCATAAAGTTGGTCAGCAGCAGGAAGCATGAAGTGCTCTAAAACTTCCTGGTATACGGCTGCGTTGACCTTGGACCTCAGAAAACACAGTGGACCAACACCAGCAGATGACATGGCACCCCAAACCAAACTTGAAGCACTGACTCCAGCTGCAGTCCACTCTTTCTGAATCTCCCCCACATTTTTGAATGGGTTTTGTTTCACAATCCTCTCCAGGGTGCGGTTATCCCTATTGCGTGTACACTTTTTTCTACCACATCTTTTCCTTCCCTTCGCCTCTCTATTAATGTGCTTGGACACAGAGCTCTGTGAACAGCCAGCCTCTTTTGCAATGACCTTTTGTGTCTTGCCCTCCTTGTGCAAGGTGTCAATGGTCGTCCTTTGGACAACTGTCAAGTCAGCAGTCTTCCCCATGATTGTGTAGCCTACAGAACTAGACTGAGAGACCATTTAAAGGCCTTTGCAGGTGCTTAGAGTTAATTAGCTGATTAGAGTGATTAGAGTGTGGCACCAGGCGTCTTCAATATTGAACCTTTTCACAATATTCTAATTTTCTGAGATACTGAATATGGGATTTTCCTTAGTTGTCAGTTATAATCATCAAAATTAAAAGAAATAAACATTTGAAATATATCAGTCTGTGTGTAATGAATGAATATAATAGACAAGTTTCACTTTTTGAATGGAATTAGTGAAATAAATCAACTTTTTGATGATATTCTAATTATATGACCAGCACCTGTATTGGTTATGTCAGTGGTAGTAGAACTAAAAATCATAACAAATGTGATAAACCTCATGACAAACTGAAGAACCACATCACCGCTGTCTGTGATTCGATGGAAACAACTACTCAATCTGTTGGCAGTATTTCTAGATTCGGTATAATTGAATAAAACTACTTTCAGGTCAAATAAATACATTATTCACTATTTCACCACCAGGTTATTCCCGCCAGCATTTACAGGACTTTGCAACGGCATCTAGACTTTAATGTTAAAACTATATTTTACTAGATCTGAGTTATTTTACTTAGAAACTCGTTTGTAAGCAGTTGTTGAAGAATGTTGATTAAAGGAACTGATCCAATAAAATTCAATTTACAGAAAATAATGAAAGGTATTAGATAAAATATAAGAATCTAACAGCCAACTGAATTCCTCTTTACAATGTTTTTAAGGCCAGTGTGTAGAATTTTGGTGGACTGTAATAAAATATTCAGAACTACGTTTTCATTAGTGTATGAAACTAAGAATCCTTGTGTTTTTATTAACTTAGAATGAGCTGTTTATATCTACATAGCGAGCAGGTCTTCTTCCAGGAGTCCGCCATGTTTCTACGGCAGCCCAGAACGGACAAACCAAACACTGGTTAGAGAGAGACTTTCATGTTTTTACGTTACCTGAAGGCCACCGTAGTTCTCCACACGCTTGTGAAACAGCGGTAACGAGAGCTACAGAGGGTGAAATTGTGGTATCACCAGCCGCCGTCGGGCTTTCTTTGCTCCTAAAGAAGTGATACCACGGTTTTTCATTCTGCTGACGTTAAGGACTCTTGTAAAGGGAGTGGAGCAGAGGGGTATTCAGTTGGTTGCAATCTACAACCTCACCACTAGATGACACCAAATACTACACAGTCCTTTGAACATTCGGCTTATTTTATTCATGACACAGATCGTACTTATTAAAAATAAACATTTATCAAAACAATAAGGGTTGTAGAAAGGAATCTGAAAAAGAATCAACGGTATTGAAATATTTGTATTTTATTTATTTGGATATTTTCTCCTGATTGTCCTTATTGTGAGGCAGCAGCTCGAACCACTGAACCCAACAACATCCTGTATTATGGCTGCAGCTGTCGATTACTTTTGATTATTAGATCGGATTAGAAATAATTACTTTAACAAGGTATACATACATCCGTGCTATTTTTGTAGACTTGTTGACAATAAACACTAATATTTTAAAATCTTTCATGAAATACTACACTATGACTTTTATATTAAATACTATACTATGACTTTCATATTACATTTATATGAAACGGTATACTGTTATGACTCCCAGAACACCTTGCTTTTACAGCATTATACAGTATTAGCACAATACAGTAGGTAACTGTTAGAATTTCACTGTGAACTGGTACATTATAAGTAAGATAAGTTTCAACTCAACACATTTGACAAACTGTCCAGACTGTGTCTAAAATCTCCTTATTCACTACAAAGTGAATGATATTTTTTTAACACAAATTACAAATTAGCCTCAGAGGGCTTTACAATCTGTACACATGCAACAGACAGACAGACAGACAGACAGACAGACAGACAGACATTTACATTACAGTCTAGCTCCTCCAGGAACTCACCAAGAGGACCTGGTGGGCCATACACAACAGCAATGGTGAGCGACAGTAATCGCATGAAATTCGAAAGAGGACAGGGAGAACTGAGGAACAGAGACAAGAGAGTATCTCCATTTTGGGGAGATTGGCAGGCCAGTACCACCACCTCGCCTCGCAGCTCTGGGAGTGTGAGAGAAAGAGTACACTTCTGACAGAGCTGCAGGTGTGGTGGTGTTTTCTGGTGTGATCCAGGTCTCAGTTAGAGCAAGAAAGCTGAGGGAGAGCAAGGAAGCATAGCCTGAGATGAACTCGGCTTTCGGCACTGCCGATTGGCAATTCCAAAGCCCCCCCACTACCACTTGCTCGCCATGAGCTGAGACAGTAGGATAGATCAGGTTAGCGGGGTCACGGCACCTGGGAGTGACCCAATGTCTGCGTGACCACCGAGCAGAGGAGCGGACAGAAATCGGATGCAAACACATGGTAGAGAAATAGAAACTCCCTAAGTACACGCTCGAGAAGTCTTAGCTTGACGAAGTCGCCTTGTTTCCTTTGACCGCCCTAGCCTTCGTTTGTGTGACGCTCGAGAGCTGACGCTTCCGACCACCAGCAGTGGTTAAGGACAGCTATCTACTGATTGCTACCAGGAGTGCCTCCCTTTGCAATCAGCAGAGCTATTCAGCAGCAGAGACTATGTCACACCTCCTCAGTCAGGCAGAAACTCACAGTCCAATCACAACTGAGGCAGGCCTAAGTACGGCTATCAAGACAACTTAGTTAAAGCAAGAATAAAATACTTCAGATCATCAGAATCTGGGTGAGTCAGAAGTTCAGTTGTTGCTACAGAAGATGAATACAGTCAGACAGATACAAGACGGAGAGACAGATAGACGGAGAGAGAGACAGACAGACAGAGAGATGACAGGTTTACACACACGTGACTGAGACGAGGAAATAGAAGAGCAGGAAATTGCGCTGATCGAAGAAGTTATCTCACATGACGTTCTTCAAAAAGAGAAACGTGCTCAGAGAGAATATAATTAATAAGCTAGAATGAACAGACTCTTCTATGTTAATTATAGAAAAGGTTGCCGACCCCTGACCTATGACATTAGGAGTAGGGTAGAGGTTATTTTAACTCCACAACACTGAAATTTGCGGATGGATGGGGGGGGGATCTCCGTCAGACACCCCTTAGACACACTCGCTGGCTTTCTGAGCGGGATGCGAGTGTTTCTTGACATGGGGGGCCTGGACGCACTGTCCCTGACCTGAGTGGGGGGATGGCATTTTTTAAACATTGGAGGCAAAGATGTCTTGCCTCCAAACTCCAACGTTACAATGCTTAGGCCAGGAGTGAGATCCTCCTTCTGCTCTTCAACCTGAGGGGGGGTCTGGGTTTTTTTAGAAATTGGAGGCAAATATTTCTTGCATCCAATCTCCAACTTTCGCGTCGTTACCTTAGTAACCACTGTTTCCTTCTCCTTTTTAATCTTCGTGTACAATGCCTCGTACATTGTGGAGGTTGCCTTTTCAGCCATTAACTTTTTCCTCAGGTCTCGCTTGTCCCACTCGGACTCTGCCAACTTCAGGATGACGTCTTCCGGCCGCTGTGCCATCCTGCTCTTCAGCTCTGCTATCTTGGCATTTTTTTGTGCCAGACTTTTTCTGAGGCAGCTTATGGATTGGGCATCCAGATTGTTTTTCAGTCGCTTCCTCCGACGCAGACTCGAAATGTTATTACTCAGTCGTACTGCGAGTTGCTGTTGGAACATTTTCCATTGATTTCGCTCTAGCAACAGAGCATTTAATTTGTCATTCATTTTCACAACAACCTGTCCCAGTCTCACCATCTCGGTGTCCTGGAGGCTGAGACCTTTATTTTGCTGTGCTACAGTTTCCTTGCAGAGTTTAAGTTCTTTTCCCAACTTTTCTTTCTCCGCCA